GTGCAGCCTGCGCTGGGTGACCCTGCTTCGGCAGGGGGTTGGGCTGGGTGACCCACAGAGGTCCCTTCCAAACCCTACCATTCTGTGATTCTGAGGTGGGAAAGATCCCCCCAGGACCCCCAGACCTGCGGGACCCCCCCCACATTCCCTCCTTTGGCACAAGCCTGCGCTGCCACGTCAGGCTCTGCACCCGAGGAATTGCACACCCAGCAGCTTCCCCTACTAGCAGAGCTATCAGACTACCTTTAATAGAGTCATATTTAATATTTAACAATGTTATGCCTAGCAGGATAATTTTCTTTTTTTTTTTTGTCTCAGTAGAATTATTATAGAGTCTGATGTGTTTGGCATCTGATAGCAGTGTTAATAAAGATGCCAAGCACCTTCTGCGCAAGCCCAAATCCCCAGCAGGCAGAGGTGTAGCTCTCCAAGCACTTGTAAACTCTCTCAGGAAATCTGTTCCTGCCATCTGGCAGTGGAGAATCGTTCAGCAGTCGAAGGAGACTTCGTCCACTCAGACGGCAGGGCTTTGAGGGTGACACGTTATTTGATTTCCATCCCACTGACACCGTCTCTGCCTGACTTCTCAGGCCGAGGTGCCTCATTTTAAAAAGTGCCGGTGTTAATGATTACATCTATATCCCAGTAACTCCGCTGTGCCGTACATGGTGAGAAGGAGACTTTTCACAGCAGAGGCTGCAGCCTGTGGACCCGCTGCCTCCCATTCAATCCACTCAATTCCGAGTGTTAACATGCAATGCAGTAGGCCCTACACAAATATCATCCATCATTCACGAGGACAAATCTCTCATTCTCTGCGCGCTGCTGCCTGCGTGCTGTGTGTTGTGGGTGGCAGAGGAGTGGTGCTTTTCCAACCGCAGCGGCTGCTCCCACTCCCTCCGAGCATCCCCGGTGCTCCCTGGAGGGGGCACCGGGGGAGCCGAGGCACGGCTGGCACCTGAGCACATGCACCCGCAGCACGGCTCTGCCCGCAGCACTGGAGTTCATCAGCTGCTAATTAGGCAGGATTTGTGCAAGGCTTGGCTTCCAGCTTGGGTGCCTGGGCTCAGGCGCGGTGTCCGCAGCGTCGCTGCCTGCGCAAGCTGCTTTGCCTGTGGTTTGGCCAGGTTTGCTGGAGCTGCCTCGGGTGCCTTCCTCTTGGGGCAAAGCCGGATTTCAGGGCTCTGGGAAGACCCACGGAGCCACTGCTGCTCACTTCCTCGGCAGGTTGCCCCAGACCCCCAGCTCATCCCGCTCAGCCTCGCTGGGGCAATGCTGGGGACTATCTGCGGCTCTCGGCCCCCTCTCACCCTCCCCATTTTTCAGAACATGCCGAACGTTCGCGATCACGACGCCTCGGTGTATCTCCGTCTCCAAGGCGATGCCCTTTCCGTGGGTGGATATGAGTCAAACCCCATCTTCTGGGAAGAGGTGAGCGGTGCTGGGAGGTTTTCTGGGGGAACGGGATAGGTTTCCAGGGAACCCGCCTCAGCCCCTGACTCCTGCGGGTACCAACCTCCGCACGGCGCGGGGCGAAAGCACAGGACAGCATCTTCCCTTTGTGTCTGTCCGTGGCACAGATACGAGA